GGAGCGCTTTCAGGATATACCAAAAGGAAAAAGCTTTTTTTTTTTTTTCAGTGATGTAATACAACTTTTGTTGGGTAATACTGGAGTTTTGTACTGTTCCGTAGGCCTGGCATTTGTACTCTTGCCTATAGGGGGAGAGATGAAATTCTGCTAGAATCATAACCTTGCTGCCACTTACATGCAAACCATTTGGGGTTTTCGTTACCGCACGTTGCCTGCAAAAACATGGCCACACAAATATTTCGCTTTCTCGAATTTTATAAATCCGTTTGTGTTTTAGTACATAGCGTTTCACGCAATTTTATATTTTCGAGTTTCTTTTTTTTTTTTTTTTGTATAACTACTAAGAATATCGAAAACAGTTCAACAACGTTAGGCAATGAAATGGCAATCCAACGAAAGCGACGCGTTCCCCTAGGAAACTCTCCAGACTCAGATTAGGAAACAAAGTGCATTACAGACCACTTACGAAAGTCACGTGCCGATTATCAGAAGGTTAGAACCACACGCATTATGTCGGAACAACTGCACAGTAAAACGCGCAAGTCATTCCATGGATAGCGAACGTCGTAGCGCGGCCAAAGATAGGAGCCTACGAGTCTATCAAACTCAAGTCCCCCGATGCAACAAGTGACGACGACTAAACGAATGACGAAGCACATTTCGTAGAAACAAAATGACGTCATTCAGTTCAGTCGTCTGCTGTGCGCCGCCATTCGCTTCCTAAAATCTGCACCGGCACGCAGTCGGCGCTTCAAAGAATGTCGCTACTTCTAGAAACCTGTTACAAAGGAACTTTATATTAAACAACTTCGAAAGTGCAACATCCTTGCGCTCATCGCCTTTTTGTGTGTGTGTGGGTGAGTTTTTGCGATTAACAATAAACGACAGAGGTTCAGGTGGAGCTAGTGTGCTGTTGCATATTGAAGCAGACAACAACCATTCTAAATTTGACTTCCGGTAATGCATTCCTATGGGAAAACGCAAATGCAATTTCTCTTCGCGCTCGATTATAAGAGCAAATATCATTTAGTGTTGTGACAGAATAAAAAGTTTGGAACGTTTTACAATCGGATGTACAAAAATATGTGCCACTTAGAGCGCTTTTCTTTAGATTTCATGGCGTCGAACACTGCGCTAAAGGAGCCCAATTCACATGTATAATACGTGTTGACGTTACAGACTGCTGTTATAGAGCACGTATTTACGCCTATAATAAATTCTATATGAAGCACACAAAATGAATAAGCTTGAAAAAACACCGAAACGGTGCTCATATATACCAAATCCAACAATCAAAACAGACGACAAGAACGAAGCATGGAGTTATGGGACGAAGAACATGTACTGGTTCAGTACGTGTTCTATTCCAGCTCGAATGCTATTACAGTTTGAATTAACCCTACACACTTTTTAACTGTTCATCTTGCTCGAATTGATAGCTTGTATTGACATATCATGCTTTACAACACAGACCTGGGCCTCATTTTTTGCCAAATTAAACATCATTCAGTAATAAAAAAATCAATTAACTAAATCAATCGCACTTTTATAATGCGAATAAAACGACATAGTACACTTTACAAGTAAAAAAACTATAGCTGATTTCTAATATTCCCTGGTGAAAAGAAAACTATCACGTACGTTTTCCCGTAGGAATGCAGAGGAAGACTGGGAAAGTAAGACTGGTTGCTGTCTGCTTCAATTTGTAACCGGAAGTTTCGTAGACACTAGCGCCAGCTGAGCCTCTAGCGTCTATTGCAATGACCTTATGCTTTTCTGTGTGCGTGATTAGCTCAACCGGTGACGGCAAACGCAAAAAAGAGCAAAACAAAACAAAAACAAAACAAGCGCTGTGACGATGCATTATTGAGCGCTGCTTGATTGTGTCCGTCGTGCCGTACCGTCGCTGCGCCCGGACTTCAGCTGAAACGAAGAAAATAAAGAAGAAAAAAAATGACCTCCATTTCTTTCTTCTCGCCGGGATACTGCGCTCCGGGCAGATAAAAACGACCTTTTCCATCTGCCGCTGACGTGCGAAAATGACGGCCTCCGACGAACTACAGTTTCGTGACCGCTATCCCGAACTTTCTCCCGTTTGCCCGAACACAGCAAGGAGGAAGACTCGTGGCAGCCCTTTCCCGCTTTCTCTCTCTCTCTCCCTCTTTCGGTAATACGGTCTATTGGCGACGTGCGCGATCGAAAGCGTCGCTGTGGTCAGCCTTCCGCCGTTGGCCGAATGCTGACTACGACGTCAGTAAAGGATTTCTCTTCGACGGAAATAAGAGAAATGGAAGAACTTCAATTTCGACGGTGCTGGTAGTGTTTTTTTAAGAGCGCGATGGTTTCAAGCTTCCACCATGCTCCTTACAAACACCATCCAACTTGTCGTTCGCAAGGTAATGACGTCACGAAAGGTAACCATAGGAGGGCGCCACTAAAACATCTCGCCATTAATATAATGAAACTTTCGTGACCTTGTCTTGTACCGCTGGAAAGGCTACAAGCGCGAGCACCTCGCTCTAGGGTACATCTCGGCGGCACAAGCTCTCGGGCACCAAGGGCAGCTGCCAACCACTGATCTCCATTGTAGTGGATCGCGAATGGGGAGCCCGCCGGTGTCGCCGCCGGCGGCCCTTGCTTGACACCAGGCAATTCACGCAAAAAAAAGTAAGAATATTGAAGCATGCACGCTGTGCTAAGAGGCGGGTATTTTATGGTGCGCTGCGATCCTTATGTCGGGTGTTTGCAGATCGAATCGGTATTTGTCAAACGTTCGAACGCCGATGAAAAAAATCAAACGTACTGGAGCACCTACGGCTGAGCCGGCAAGCTTCCTCTCGTATTGGAGTAAACAAAGGAACTTGCCGTCAATGAGACCGTCCTCGGGGAAGCCCAGAAGTTGATAAATGACAAAGAAGTTCCACCTCGGCAGCGGCTTCCGCGTAGCAAAGCCTTCGAGCTTGTCGTCTGCTAAACCCAACTCAACGAAACCGCCACCGACTCCACGGTAACTCTAGGTAACTCTCGTCTCAGTGAGCTGCACTAGAGCGGAGTCACTCTCGACCACAAAATATTTATTTATAAGAACTGCGCGAGGGTTGCCAGTTTTATTATTTGTACGCAAGCTATTTGACCGGCTTATCAAAAAGTCTCCGAAACGTTTCAGTGCCGACAACAACTTAGAAACGGGGGAAACGTCACTTTTTCTAGTTCTTCCCATAGAGTCCCACGCATTGGCTGGTGTCAATCAATGGCCGCCGGTGGCGACACTCGGCCCCAGCTGCCGAAGACGCGGTCCGCGATCCAGCCTACTACAATAGAGATCAGTGCTGCCAACGCTATGGGCTCGCGCTTCTAGCCTTCACTGCGGTACAACATAAGGCGAAACGGAGTATAGTTGGTACTAAAATCCCTAGATAAGAGCTTTCTACAAGCAGGCGACATTCTTCGAAGCGCCGACTGCGTGGCAGTGCAGGTCTTAGGAAGCGAATGGCGGTGCACAGCAGAGGTTTGAACTGAATGCCGCCTTTTTGCTCCAGATGAATGTGCTTTGTCATATGTATTGGTTGTTACTTGTAAACGAAGTATCAAAGGACTTTAGTTGGTACGCGTGTACACGTCCTTGTCGCACGTGTCTACGTTTTCGTCCTGTTTCCACTCGCGCCTTTTAACCTTCCCTAAGCTGAGACTGCAGGGAAAGCCACGAGCACGTTGGACCAGTCATACGTCGATCCTTCGTGACGTGATCACGCTCTCGCCCACTGCCTCGCGCGCAGAGCTGGGTCAGGTGATGAAAGGGAGGCGTTTGATTGGTCTGGCGAGAGCGTATCTCCCACCGCAGTGTGTCTGCTTAGGGGTGAACGGGGTGTAGTGGTGTGGACTGCAAAGGGAGACGGGGGTGGTGTCGTGACCTACCCCAGGATTTGTAACGAGGCTCTGAAAAAAGTGCGCTTGAAAACCAAATGGAGAAGAAAAAGAAATACTGAGGAGCATTTGCTACGATTCAACTGAATGTCCAGCAGACAATATATCAGAAAACTTCGTATAATGAAGATTCAGGATTTTTATGAATCTTGAATTTGCGTGCTAGGTATAAAACTGGTAGATGAACAATCGCTATAAAAAATGAACGAATTTAACAGAAAAAGATTATATATGCAACATGATCATATGTGACCTTGGGAAGGACCATTTATTGGAACAAATTATGGCCATCGCACATTAACATACACTCTTCCGACCATTCTCAACCAGCTTAGCGTCATACATATTGAAATTAACAATACATCGATGGGCAGGGGTATCTTTATTTAACGTGTGTTAACTATGAAACTTATGTTGGAAGATTATTTTTCTTGTTTTGTTTACGTGTGTATGTAGTGTGCACTTTTCAAATGTGAAGGTTTTTGTCCCACCTCAAGAGGACACTCTAACCGCTCATTCAAACTGGAAGCGGATCCGCGTTCGCAAAGCGGTTGCGAACGCGGTTGTATAAAGATCCAGTGCAATTGCACGCGCACTCGATGACATCAAGTGCGCGTGCAATTGTACTGGATCTTTATACAACCGCGTTCGCCACCGCTTTGCGAACGCGGATCCGCTTCCAGTGTGAATGAGCGGTAAGGCTTCGTCCAATGACGCTAGTGGAAAGTGATTTTAGCACCCCTCCCCCGGCAACAAAAGAAAACGTACTAAAGCGAACCGGAAGCAGGGTGGAAACCTTCGTTTCCGTTAAGCTAATAGTGTGCAAAGCAAACAGCGTGTCCTGTTGTGTTGACAGCCCTTAACCCGGAAGCTGACATCTTTGTTGTTTTGTATACATTGCGCACTGACTCCCCTACTTCAGAAGACCCTGTCTTTGCTGCCGCGCTGAGCTATATACTCGTCCACTTTGACTGACTGGAAGTTGCCCCCGCAGTGTTGTTTCCTTACACAGTTCCCCATAATGTTCTCTTGTCGAACTTATGGTGCTAATTCTACAATTTCTGTTGCTGAAGGGTCAAGACAAGCTTGGAGTAACATCGCCGTTCTACAAGGAAGTAGATGGTATCTACATCAGCTCTTTCTTCAAAGAGGACAACCTCCGATCGGCGTTCGCTTACAAACCACGGCCGGACGACGTCTTCGTCGCTTCCTACCCAAAGTGCGGTACCACCTGGATGCAGTGCATCGTCCACTGCATCCTCAACGATGCCGTGCTACCAGACAACTCCGTAGATTTTATGCTGGCGTCGCCTTTCATCGACTTTACCGGCGCCGAAGGTCCGGATAGAATGTCTCGACCGGGGGCCATCAAGACGCACCTCCCTTTCGACAAGGTACCGTACTCTCCTCAGGCAAAGTACATCTACGTCACCAGGAATCCTTACGACTGTTGCGTCTCGTACTACCATCATATACTGAGTACACCTCTCAATCGGCCCGAAGACGGGGACTTCGGACAGTTCCTCGAAAGATTCATGAGGGGTCGGGTAAATTGGGGGGACTACTTTTACCACCTACTCTCCTGGTACGACCATAGACACGACCCCAACGTCTTGTTCGTGACTTTCGAAGAGCTCAAGAGGGACACGTCTTCGGGGATTCTCAAGGTCGCCGACTTCCTCGGAAAGCATTACGGTTGTAAGTTGAGGCAGGATGAAGCTCTGCTTCGGAGGATACTCGAGGTAGTCGAGGTGCGGGAGATGAGGAAGATATTTAATGATGACATGTTAGGCATGATGTCACGGTTTTTGTCGCTGCCCCCCGAGAAGGCTCTACGCTCGCTTGAGGTTTGCAAGGCTCCGCTTGGTGCAGTTCAAGACGAGCGGAAGAAGGAAGAGTTTATTCGAAAGGGCGTCGTCGGCGATTACAAGCTTCACTTCACGACTGATCAGGCAAGCAGAATGAAGGACTGGATCACTACTAAGACAAAGAATAGTGACGTCATGCTGTTGTGGAAAGATATTGACCTTCCGTGATTGCGTTTTCAGCTAGGTACCCAGAGACATTTAAGTCTATGGGTACCTTTAAGTGCTTCATTCCCAAACGTGGTTTTTGTACAGCGTGTAATATAGCTCAAAGGCGTATCGGTCTGTGTTAATTCAATTGATCTGCATTCACTATAAAAACAAAATTAAGCGTTATCTTGATTCTCGTAGTGCTCTTTACACGACGCGCACTCACTACATTAAAACTGTATTAAGTTAATGTGTTTAACACGCATGACATAACGAACGTTGGTGACGTAACACAAGTGTTTATTTTATATATAATGCCGCGCCCAGGGCTGAGAAAGCAACGCTCAGTCACGGACCTCCAGAAAGTTCTCGTTTATTCATGTACCGCATGTAACTTCTATCATTTATTCCTGCTTTTGTTTTCTAGAAAGTGCGTGTTCATTCTCGCCCGATCACGCGACGCTCGAGCCGCTTTCGCCGAATCTTCGAGATAGCGACGCACTCTAGATAAGAGGCCGCCCGCGACCTTGTCGAGTCAGTTTCGCCTCAGCGTTCGACCTTGCTGCTTCGCCGCCTTCGACGCCCGCGATGCTCTGTTGTTATTTTTCTATTTCCTTTTATTTTTGGCACAAGTTCGCCACATTAAACGTCTATTTCTTTCTGTGTATTTATTGTTTCTTTTGGTCACCACCCGTGACATTTTGGTGGAGGTGCGGGGTACCGCATGCCCCTGCCGCGTACCCCTCCGAGGGCCCGCAGTCCAAGTCCGACGCCTAGCCCACGAAGAACCAACGAAAGCACTTCCGAGATCCGGTTCAGCCGTCGCACCCAAGGCCTACACCCGGAATTCGGACCTCTGCCGCCCAAGACTAAGCAGCCAACGAGACCAACGATGGACAGCCAGTCGTCGCAGAACCCGTCCACCGCCAGCGTCGTCATCCTGCCCGTCGCACCCCGGACTCCGACGCCTTTCCACGGGGAGATCCACGAAGACATCGAAGACTGGCTGCGACACTACGAACGTGTAGCCCGCCACAACGGATGGACGACCGAGCAGTGCCTCCACAACCTTTACTTCTCGCTTGAAGGCACTGCGAGGCACTGGTTTGAAAACCACGAAGCCTCCTTCCCCACATGGGAGTCCTGCGTCGCCGAACTCAAACGAACATTCATTAACCACCATCGTCGCCAGCGAGCAGAGGACCTGCTTCAAACAAGGGTGCAGGGCCCCAATGAAAGCCTGACCAGCTTTGTAGAGGATGTTCTGCGTCTAAGTGCCCGAGCAGACCCGCAGGCCGCTGAGGAAAAGAAACTTCGAATCCTCATGCGAGGCGTCAAGGCAGAAATTTTTGGAGGCCTGGTTCGCAATCCCCCGACGACCGTCGATGCATTTGTGAGTGAAGCCACGAACATCGAGCGCGCACTGACGGCCCGAGCAAGCCACTACCACCGACTCGCCGGCGCGCCTACTTCTCCAACCGTCGCAGCTACACTTCCGGACCTGAACACCACCGGTGTCGACAGCCTTCGGGATATCGTCCGGGATATCGTCCGGGAAGAGCTCCGGAAGATTCTACCTGCTGCAGATCGCCCAGCCTCACTGTCACTCGCCGACGTCGTCCGAGAGGAAGTTCACCGAGCTTTCCATCCCGAGGTTGCCGTCACCGCAGCAGCACAGCAGGAGCCAGCCGTAAGCTACGCCGAAATGCTCCGCCGAGCACCATCAGCACCGCGTCCGTACATGGCGCCTCCCCGACGTGTGCTTCCAGAGCCGCAGCATTCCCGACGCCAGGAAGATCGGGCACACGTTCGTCCAGAACAAGTTGCGCCAAGGAAGACCGACGTGTGGAGGACGGCTGATCGACGCCCGTTGTGCTACCACTGCGGGGAAGCCGACCATATCTACCGACGATGCCCCTACCGCCAGCTCGGCCTACGAGGGTTCGCGCCCAACGACCCTCGACCACGTCTTGGAGAGCGACCTCGGGACATCGAGGACTACCTCCGCCGCTCTTCAACTCCTGAGTCGTCTCCCCGCCGAGTATTCCGTTCGCCATCTCCCCGACGCTCGCCATCGCCCTTCCGCCGGTCTCGCCGAGACAGCCTGTCACCCATTGCGTCCCGTCGGGAAAACTAGGCGCGGCAATGCCGGGAGGTGGTGTTGCCAAAGACGAACGATGCCAAGATCCTCCAAGATCGTCGGAGCTCTCCCACTCTAACGCCGCAACGCCCCGAAACGACGTTTCTGTAACAGTGTCGAATAACCTCAACGTTATCATCGACGGCCACGACGCGACAGCACTCGTCGACACCGGAGCGGATTACTCCGTTTTGAGTGGGAGACTCTCTCGTCGCCTTCGGAAAGTTACGACGTCGTGGGATGGACCACAGATACGAACCGCCGGCGGACACCTCATCACGCCTGTCGGCAGGTGCACTGCTCGCGTTGAGATCCATGGTGAAACCTGCCCTGTCAAGTTCGTCGTTCTGCAAGACTGTTCGAGAGACGTCATTCTCGGAATGGACTTTTTGTGTGAGTACGGCGCCATCATCGACCTTGGGGAGAACAAGCTGACGCTTCGGAAACCTGTTCCCTCGGCGGAAGATCCCAAAGCGACGTTAGCTGCAGTGCGAGTCCTTACCAGCCACGTAAACCTGCCGCCGCTGTCCAGTGTCTTTGTCCCCGTCGGGACCGACGAAGCCACCTGCGGGATAGCACTGTTGGAAGGAAGCGTCCAACTTCTCCTTGGACGAGGGATTGGTATTGCAAGAGGCGTAACCGAGCTCCAGGACGGGCGTACCGTAGCCCTTGTCACCAACTTCCGGCAAGAGTCGCAGCACCTTACAAAGGGTACAGCTGTGGGCTACGTCGAGGAAATTCAGGACTCGGCCGCCATCGCCGTGATCTCAGAAGACGCCTCTCCGACGCACCACAAGGGAACCACGCCGTCAAAGCTCGACATCGACCCATCCCTCCCAGGCCCACAACGACGACAGCTGACTGACGTTCTCGCTGAGTTCAGTGAGTGCTTCGCCACATCGTCAAGGCTACGCCAAACAGCGGTTGCGAAGCATCGAATTGTTACTGACGATGACGTGCCCCCTATTCATCAGTCGCCGTAGCGAGTTTCGGTGAAGGAGAGGGAAACCATCCAGAAACAAGTTCAAGAAATGCTTGACGACGATATTATTCAGCCTTCAAGCAGTCCGTGGGCCTCTCCAGTCGTGCTGGTGAAGAAGAAAGACGGAACCCTTAGGTTCTGCGTGGACTACAGGCGGCTGAACGCTGTTACAAAGAAAGATGTCTATCCGCTTCCCCGCATAGATGACACCCTCGACCGTTTACGCCACACCCGGTACTTTTCGTCGATGGACTTGAAGAGTGGCTACTGGCAGATTGAGGTCGATGAACGGGACCGCGAGAAGACTGCCTTTGTCACGCCCGATGGACTTTACGAGTTCAAGGTGATGCCCTTCGGACTCTGTACGGCGCCGGCGACTTTCCAGCGGGTCATGGATACTGTACTAACGGGACTGAAGTGGCAGCCCTACCGAAAAATCCGGTATAACTTTTCACTATCCGGATTATGGAACCGGAAATTTGTTACTGGAAACCCGAAATCCAGATTGCAGACAAAGGAATAATTTCTGAAAACCTAAATTCCAGATAGAGTCCAGATAGAATCCAGATAGATTTCCGGTTCCATAATCCGGATAGCGAAAAGTTATACCGGATTTTTCGGTAGGGAGAGCTGCCTCGTTTACCTGGATGACGTCGTCGTTTTTTCGCACGACTTCGACGAGCACTTGAAACGGCTTAGGGCCGTGCTCCAAGCCATCAAGACCGCAGGGCTCACACTCAAGCCAACGAAGTGCCGCTTCGCCTACGCCGAACTTAAGTTCCTTGGTCATGTCGTTAGTAGCGAAGGAGTACGCCCTGACCCCGCGAAGACATCCGCCGTAGCCGAATTCCCTCGACCATCGGACAAGAAGGCCATCCGCAGATTCCTGGGGCTGTGCGCGTACTACAGGCGCTTCGTTCAAGATTTCGCAAAAATTTCGGCGCCCCTCACACATCTTACGAAAGACGCCGTGAAGTTTCACTGGGCAGAAGAACAAGAACGGGCGTTCGACGAACTGAAACAAAGACTTCAGACACCTCCGATCCTCGGACATTTCGACCAGCACGCCGAAACCGAAATTCACACGGACGCAAGTAACTCCGGCCTTGGTGCGGTATTGGTACAGCTACAGGAAGGCACGGAGCGAGTTATTGCCTACGCAAGTCGGACACTGTCAAAAGCGGAGAAAAATTACTCCACGACGGAAAAAGAATGCCTCGCGGTTGTATGGGCGATCACAAAGTTTCGTCCGTACATATACGGGAACCCGTTCCGGGTGGTCACAGACCACCACTCGCTCTGTTGGCTTGCAAACCTCAAAGACCCTTCAGGACGCCTGGCTCGATGGAGTCTTCGACTGCAAGAATTTGACATGACCGTAGTCTACAAGTCAGGACGGAAACATAGCGACGCCGACTGCTTGTCCAGAGCCCCCGTCGAAACGCCAGACTGTACCGACGTGGATGATGACGAGTGTTTCCTAGGTGCCGTGGACACCAACGACATGGCAGGACTTCAACGAGACGATCCGGAGCTCCGCGCCCTGATTGAGCATCTAGAAGGACGAGGAAGTACCGTTTCTCGTGTCTTTTCACGAGTCCTGCCGACCTTCGCTATTCGAAGAGGTGTACTTTATAAGAAAAATTTTGGAACCAGTAATTCGTCGTGGCTTCTGGTAGTCCCCACCAGCCTTCGAGAAGAGATTCTTCAAGCCTGCCACGACGACCCAACTTCAGGACACCTCGGTTACAGCCGAACACTAGCCCGAATACGTGAAAAATACTACTGGCCCAAGCTGCCGAAAACCGTCCATCTCTACACGCGATCGTGCCATGAGTGCCAGCGACGCAAGAAACCGCCGTCAAAGCCAGCAGGTCGCCTTCAGCCGATTCCCCCTCCAACCAAACCGTTCCAGCAAATTGGAATGGATTTGCTGGGCCCTTTTCCACCGTCGACCCTGGGAAACCGCTGGATAATCGTCGCCACAGATTATCTTACGCGTTACGCCGAGGCGAAAGCCCTTCCTTCGGGGACTGCTGTCGAAGTCGCGAAGTTCTTCAT